CCGTCCATCCCTCCGTCCATCCCTCCGTCCATCCCTCCGTCCATCCCTCCGTCCATCCGTCCGTCCGTCCATCCATCCATCCATCCATCCGTCCGGCCGTTCAAACACACAAAGGAATCCTGCGTGTTGCTTAGGGTTTGGCTTTGAGAGGGCATAAATATACTATATATGTTAATAGATAAACAAATACTTAAATTAGGACCCCCTCACCCTCTGCAGCGCGCACACGCGCCCGCAAGGCGACTTCAAGCTGACAATCGCCACCACCATCATAGTAGCAGCATACATGTGTGGCCTTAGGGTTTACATCATTGGTCAGTTGCGGAAGGTATTGCCGCAGACCGCGGCTTTCCATAATTTCCTCTATTTTCTTTTAACTTTTTTTCCAAATCACTGGATTGACAGGACATAAGTACGGACATACATAAATTTGGCCTAGTAGTACTCCGAAGCTTCATACGACAGGACAACGTACGGCTGTGAAGGAAAAGATCTACGGTAATGATACTAGACGCGCACGCAAATATTTCGCCAGCTGGTCAAGCGAATGGATTAATCGGTCACATATAAACAAAGATATAAAACACTGGGGGGCAATGAGCACGAGTGAGCAAATGAAGAAGGACGCTCAGGCGAGAAAATGAGCAAGATGAACGTTGAGGTAGCAGAAGGTTCTTCATCGGCGATTTAGGTATGCGCCCATCTCCCATACGGAATTATCTCCCCGCAGATTCGGCATTAATACATGCATGGTTAAGACCATAAGTACATACATACGTATAAACACGGGCAGCAGCTGGCCGCAGAAAAGGCCTCCTGAGATACTTTGCGTGTATTTGTACTTGATATGTGTGCCGTACTGCGTACCAGCTATTACACACACCCACAAGTGTCACCTCATCCTCAGCAGCACATAGATAGAGCCTGGCTGAGCTCGGCGTGTCGGTCGCCATCCATCCATCCAGGCAGACAGACAGACCGCCGAGTGAAATCAGCTCTCTAGGTCTGATCCGATATCAAACTATACAGAGGTTATCACTCCGCGTAACGTGTTGGGTCCGGGGGTCCACGGCGTTGTTATACGGCGAGGGGCGGGGCAGGCAACAAATACACACATAGATACGCACATATATACATACATACATACATACACGGTCACACGCATGCATATGTGCACGTGTACACATGCGGTTCGTGCATGGCAGGGGGCTCCGATTAGGGGTAGAGGTGTAGGTAGGCGCGAACTTCTTCTTGAGACGCAAATGTTGTGTCGCTGATTCGTTGGTGGGCGGTGGTCGAACCCACGCGCCCGCTAGCTCCCCGCCTCAGCACATGCCGGGCTATACATACATACATACATTCGTGCATGCAGAGGAGGCGGCGGAAGAGCACCATACACATGACCCAGGTGGACCCAAACAGTCTTTACTCCTCACTTTCGTTCTTCCCTCCTAGCTCTTCTCCAAAGTCTGTAATCAGTTCGGGGCCATCGGAAGGTTGGGTGGGGCAGCAATGTGATTGCGTGTGTGTATATGTGTGTATATGTGTGTGTACGAATGAATGATCATGACCAGTTAGTGTGTTAAAATAGGGGTCTTTAAAGGGTTGGTTGGTTGGTTGGTCGTGGGAATGGAATTTTGCCTTAGGTCAGTTAGTTGGTTGGTACGAGGACTTGAGGGTTGGTTGGGTGCGTGGATGGGTTATATCCTGCTGCCAGCCAGTGAGAGAGGGAAAGTGACAAGGGCCTGCTTAGGGTTAAAAGTAAGAGAGAGCACATACAAACCCTAAGAGTGCATACAGGTAGGTAGTATAGCAGTCAAAATATATGCACGCTGTACCCCCCAGGATGTCATTTAATATCTCATTATGTTTATTTTGCCGTACAGTACGTCATGTAGGACAAAAAGTTTTATAGATTACCACAAACATCAGTGCGAAACAGAACCCTTGAATAGGTAACGCACAACAACACCCGGTTATCGACAGGTAAAGCAACACGCGAATGCTATCATTCATGGCTGCATCACAGCCCCAACCAGCAACACACAAGCACAAGGTCTGGTCTGGGTTGACACTACTGCGATTCGCGGTTTAAGGTCCTGGGTTCGATTCCTGGGGAGACCCCCGAATTAGTCGGGAGCGCGAGATTATGGCTAGCTGCTGAGATGTGGAGTTGAGGTCGCAGTTGATGGACCAGATTCGCACGCTAGATTGGTGGCGATTGCCGAACCCTCCGTCTCTTCGGTTGTTCGGGTGAATGGATGAGGAGGGGTCCTAGACGGCTGGACCCGCCGCCTTGGACTTACAGTTCGTATGGCGAAGTATAGTGTGGTAGTGGTGGATGGTGCTATAAGATGATAAATCGTAGAACTGACAATGTGATAAAAGCGGCCCAGAAGCCTCCCACTCTGTAACATTACATCACAAGCACATGCACCACACTCGCAACCCCCACCCCACAACACACATGCGCCAACACACAACCTCCACGATGTGGTATTACGGGCCCAATAAACCACATACATACGTACATATACAAACATATACATCACCAATAGCCCTGTGCCGTACCGTGCCGTACCTCCTGCACCAGTGCAAGTGTTTTGTAAGCCTCAGCCGCCGCGGGTCGCCTCGCCGGGTCGGAATTCCAACAGTTCCAAATCAGCGTCCTGATCTTGAGCGGACAGCGTTCGTCGGACAGCTTGTGAAGCGGCGGGCGACTACTGTGTACGGCAACTGCCACGGCAATCTGCAGGTTGTAGTGGAGAGGCGGTGATGAGATGGTGAAATAGATGTGGGTGTCACCTCCCCCGGGAGATAGAAGTAGAGGTGGAGGGGTGGGGATAGAAAGTTTGAGAGCCCCGGGGGGAACTAACATACGGCTCAACAGCTAAAGAGAGGAGGTGCAAACATGCGCCGATAAGTGGATGTCAGAATCCCGTGATACGCCAGAGAAACAACATTTATATATAATATTATGTATTAGATAGATATATGGATAGATATATGGATAGATAGATGGATAGATAGATGGATAGATGGATGGATAGATGGATAGATGGATTGATAGATAGATACGGCCACCATCCACATAACATATTCCCTCAAGCTGGAGGAACAGTGGGGAGGGGAGGGGCGGTGGGGTGTCCCATGGGGACACGAGGACGAACCACATGAACGAGTGACGCTGATGCCAAGGAGGAGGATAGACCCCTAGGAGGATACGTCGTAAGTACGGAAGCATTGATTAGCTAATCAGTCGCGAAAATGTGTGTACGGGTTAAGTGGGGGGCGGGGCGGTTGGGGGAGGTGGGGGGGAAGGTGGGGGCATACACGATCCACCACGAACCCACACCTCGGAGTGAACTGACCCACCGACCCGCGGGCACCTGCATTTGGGTGAGGCCCAACCACGGCCGCTCGCCCGCCAGCATCTCCCACAACAGCACGCCGAAGCCGTACATGTCCTGTTCCCCGAGCGCCCCCACGTACATGTCGGCGGAAGTGAAGTATATGGTTCACGTGTGTGTGTGTGTGTGTGTGTGTGTACGACGGTCATGTGTGATGACTGCTTCGGTGCATCACATCACATAGGGGGTGTAGGAGGTAGCTACGAAACGTATAATATATACATATATGTATATATGTATAGCTTCAAAATGGCAGTGTACGAGCCGCACTGTACGACAGATACTACCACAATGGAGCGTCGCAGGTATACAGATGGCAATGTGACATACATACATACATACAAACAGGCAGCGGGCGAACGAATTAACAATTCGCTTTAAATATAGACATGCACCTGCAAAATCAAGTGTCATCAGGCAGCAAATGGACAACCAACAACAACAGCAAGGCGGACAGAGGCTGGAGGCGGAGGCCCTGATACACATACACAATATACACACATACGATGTGCCCCCAGGACCCCCTAATAGACCCAAGAGGATAGAGACCCCACAGAAGGACCACAGCTCACCACGCGATCTGTCACGAAGAAATTCGTGATATCAAACAGCTCCGGAGCCATGTACGGCGTCTGTGGTATTGTCGGGTTGCGGGACATTAATAATTGCCGAAGAATAAAAGTACGTCATTCATTCAGTCGTCGCTACTTGAACACCTCACGAAAACACACAGGGGACCTCAGAAGATAGTTAGAGAAAAGGTAGTCAGAGAAAAGGTAGTTAGAGAAAAGGCAGTTAGAAAGACAGTTGTAAAGTCGGAAATGAACAAGACCCGGTGCGTGTAATTATTGTGTATCACCTTCTGAGTGCGGTGTGGTTAAGAAACTGAGAGAGCGCGAATAAAAACGTCACCGTACTGTACGACAGCATTCATATAACAAAACGCACCGTGCCAGCTTCCGGATTCTGCGTAACGAGAACAGTCTGCAGCAGACGCGACAGCCCAAAGTCCTGTACGACAATTGGGTGATGGTCAGAGGTGGTCAGAGGGTAGGTCTATTGGATACCATACTTCGACTCGATCACACCGGGGCTGGGAAAACCCAGGGTCTGATTCGAGATACCACCACACAAAACAGATTTATTCCTGAATGACTGTCGTGCCGTCACGTGGAAAGGAGGTGTCGTCGCTGCATTGCTTGATGAGGCAACACCGCCAGAGTTAGTCAATCCTAACTAACTGACAACACAAAAAAGGTCCGCTCATTGGGAGCTTGGCTTGGCAAGCACCGTCCTCCGCCTTGCGGTACGGCATTACAAAGCACCAATTCAATTATACGGCACGACAGTACGATAGCTCTGGACGGCGCGACACTCACCGCTAATTTGGCAATTGGTCTGTCGCTGTCGGGTTGCGATATTAGCACATTGGCTGGTTTGAGGTCTGTACTTCACGGGGGGTGATACGGGGGGTGTCATGCAAAGGGGGGAGGGGGATCATTAGAGCAATTAAGGAAATGAAAAACGAGAACTGCCGGCGTCCAAAATCCGAAAGAGGTGTTACTGGTTCAGGGGTTGAGGGGATGGGGGGTTGGGGGGTTGGGGGGTTGAGGGCGCGCACCGGGGTGTCGGAACGTAGGTTGGGGGAAACGTGGGTTTTTGGTTGTCACCAAACTAATATATCAATAAGACACAAAATATGTAATCAATTGTTCATGTCGTTCCCACTGGGCCTACTACCCACTGCCGTACATGCCGTACAGCACACCCCGCAATGTGTCTACCCTGCTTGCTCTCACAGTGAATTCGAGACCCGCCTCTCCGCGTCCTGTCCTGCCCTTTATTCATAGTGAGGACTTGTGCACGAGGAGCACGAAAAGGACATTTCGTACACTCTTGCTACCGTATAGTAAAGCTGCCATAGCTGCCGTACCAGCTCCGTACCTCGATGCAGTACCGTTGGGTGCAAGTACGACAGCGCTCTTGCAATTTGCATTCCGATGTGTATGACCTATGGGTTCGTATTAAGAGGATAGAGCACGCGGGGCTGTAGCAATTAGCTAGTAAAGAGCACAAGGTATCTGGTTGAGCACCAGCTGGGGTAACGGAGGAACGGCCCCAGAGGGCAGAGGAGAGAGGGGAGAGGAGGCGGAGGGGCCGAGTGAATCTGCAGCGAAATCCCCTCACCCTAAAACCCCAATTTCCCTCCCCCCTTCCATTTCTCGCAACCCCCGCTCACCGTAGGCAGCAGCAGCTGTCGTACAGGTCGGTTGCCATCCCCGTACAACAACCCCTCCAGGGAAGTGTCCATCAGCTCCATCACCAGGCATATCAGAGGCGGCCTAATCAAGACATATACATATAGGGGAAATGTGCAGGCGTCCCAATTAAGACATGTAGCTGTTTTAGGGATTAGATGCCACTCTTAAGTCGAGAAATGTACGACCGACTACTACTGGCCACTACTGGGTACGTTTTTCCGACAAGGGTATTCCCCGGCCGCACTGCCGTACACTACCACGGCCTCCCAGCAGCTGACCTGACGCTGGCCGCCAGCAGCTGTACGATATTGGGGTGTCTGCAGCGGGCGAGCACTTCGACCTCCTGTACGATCGCTGCCGCGGCCGTCCCGTACTCCGGCTGCTGCTGCCGCTGATGCTGCTGCACTTCCACATCTCCTTGTTGAGCTGCGCCGGCATGGGATTCCTCTTCTCCTCCCCCGCCTACCCCCCCGCCTCCAGCGACCTGCGATGTCGACATGACGGCGGGCCCCCCGGTAACTACCAGGAGCCGCTCCAGGTCCACCACCTTCAGCCCCGAGAGAAGCCCGCGTGCCCCGGGCGGCCCCGTCGTCTCCTTCACCTCCGCCTCCTTCACCTCCGCCTCCACTGCCTCTGCTGGCGGCTCAGCCACCGCTCGCGCCACCTCTCCTTCCTCTTCCCCATCCTCCGCCACACCCTCCTCGACCGCTCGCAACTGAGCCTGCTGCTCCGTGACCCCGGCCTCCTCCGCCTCTTCCGCCTCCAGGTAGTGGACCTGTGTGTCAAAGGTTGACCCGGTCATCATACCCCCTGTCGATGGCGTCATCGCCGCCGCCGCCGCCGCCCGCGGAGCTTCCGGAGGCTTCCTTGTCTCCGCCTCCGCCGGCTCCACCTGCCGCTCCTCCACCACCGCCGGCGTTACGACAACCGCTCCATCCAGTAACCCAGTATTCACAAGCTTGACGGCCACCCGTACACCGCCGTACGTGCCTTGTACGACACGGCCGTAATGCCCTTTGCCAAGAATCACGATGGGATCTGACAATTCCAACTTGCCGCCCTCCGGCCCGATCTGTACGTTGTACTCGATGTCAGATTGGAGCGGCGTCAGCGGCGTAACGGGCACCATCTCGGCGGCGGCGGGCGGCCCGACCGCCACCGCCACCGCGTTGGTGTGCACCGCAGCGGAAGCCTCGCGAGCATCCGTCGCGCTTCCTGCGGCGGCGGCGGCGGCGGCGGCGGCGGCGGCGGCGGCGGCTTGGCTCCTCGTCGCCACGCCGACTGGCGGTGGTTGGGGTGGTTGGGTTGTCGCCAACGCTTTTCCCGGGGGGGTGGCGTCATCATCACCATCACTACCGCCACCACCACCACCCTCCCAAGTGCAGCAGCAGCAGCAGCAGCAGGCGCCACCTCCGCCGCTAGGAGGAGGAGGAGGAGACCTCCCAGCTGCCGCAGCCGCCGCCTCCTCAACGTCAACGTCAGCTTGGCGATGGCGGCGGCTCCGTCGGTCCAGCAGCAGCCGGCAACAAACGAAGATGGGGAAGCGGGAGTGGCGGTGATGGTGGCGGCGGCGACGGGCGACGAGTACGGATGTCACCACAGCCCCCAGCAGGAGGAGAAGAAGCGGCAGCATCAGGCCTGTGCAAGAACAGAGCGGCCAGGTGACCGGGCGGCCGGGCGCGCAATCATCCATCCTTCCTTCCAGGATAGGATAGGATTTCACGAAGGGAACAAATGATCCCACGGCGGATGGGAGGGAGAATTCCGTTCCAAGAGAGGCGTAGCCGTTTCCAGTGGGCGCTGCCTCCGCCTCCCCTCCTCCCCCCACCCCACACTTCCCCTTTCCCCCCTTCCCCCCTAGTCGCGACTAATTAGCTAATCCTTGCGTACTTTTGGCATATCAGTCTATATCATATCCTTCTTGGCATCAGCTTCACTCATTCACGTGGTTCGTCCCCCCTCACCGCCCCCTCACGCCGCCCTCCTTTCTGGTTCTGTTTTGGTGCTCGCACCCGTACATCCGTACACCCGTACATCCGTACATCCCTACAGTAGTACAGGTGGTAGGGGCCCCCAACACCTCTCAAACCAAAACCCTTCAGCACGCACGATACATACATACATACATACACAAATACATAACACTCATGAATACACGCATATCGTTTCTGGATTGCCTGAGTAGAACGGCATTCATGCGTCGTACATACACACATACCCGTGCTTTACCTACCCTCACTCATCCCCCCAAACCTCCCGCCCTCGTTGCCCCATTTGTCAGCGGTTCGTCTTGACCCCCCCGCCCAAAATACAAGCACGCCAAACGAAGCACCCACCCCCACCCACCGCCCAGGAGCCCAACTCGAAGACGCCAGGTCTTTTCAGCGCTGCTGCTGCTGCTACTGCTGCTGTCACTGCTGGTATTATCGCTGCCTATTCTGCTGCTGCTGATGATGCTGGAGTTGGTAGAATAGTTACTTCGCGGGTACTTGCTGTAGAAGCAGGCCACAGTGCCCAGCCGAGCCGCGCACTCCTCGCTCATCAACCACTCGCACTTTGAGAGGTGAGAAAGCGGAAAGTTTGTTGGTGCATGGGTGTGCGTGTGTGTGTTGGGGGGGGAAAGGGTGGGAAACGTTGTCAGGGGTTTGGAAAAGGAGGAATGATACAAACATGGCACTGGACGAACCTGATGATGCCGTATGTATGTATGTACCCAGGCCGTACATTCTCCGCCAAGAAATTAAACATACGGGAGTTTTGCATGTTAAAACCTTTATGTATACGGTACCTTTATGAATACCATATATGTACTAATGGAGTCAAGAAGTCTTGTACTAAGGGAGTCAAGAAGTCAATGATGGTGGGTGCAATCAAGCACTCAGGATCGCTCACCAGGTAAATAGTTCCATGCAGCCATAATGCGTAACCCGCTCGGATCCACTGCCCCGGCGCCGCCTCCTGGTAGCCGTACGTCGCCAGGTCGGTGTAGTTGCCCCAGGCATCCCAACGCGTCGTCATGGGGGTGGTGTTCGTACAGCTGGACGCAGGCGGCAGCGGCAGCCTCCACGCGAGCTGCTGCCCAGGAATCTGAGGTGGACGAGCAACTGTGGAGGAGGAGGCATTGTACAACGAGCCCGGCAGGCAGCTTCCTGCCGTACGGTACGGCCGTTGTACAGGGAAAGCAGGGAAATGAAAACATAGGAAAACCGGGACGAGCACACACACATCTGGTATTAGACACGCCCGGGTTATTGTACGTAATTGTCGTACATTTATTCTAGCACATTTTTTGTAAGTGCAGTATCCATTGGCTTATTGAAAATACAGAAACAACATTTATTTTATGTGGATTAAGTGCTAGAAAACTGAAGCAGCAGGGAACCAATTTACTCAGCGGGAGAGCTATCAAGTATAATTTTTATCCCTTAGTTTACACCGAATATAAAGAAGATTTTGATCTTTTAAGGATATAACCATGGCCTTATTCCTTCTCATTTTCTAAGAGTAAATAGTAGTGGGGGACATACAGAGGGGAGGATGGACTTCACCTGATGAAAGCGCATGAAAGCATAGTCAGCATATAACCGGCAGCCAACCTCCAACTGCCAACCAACTCACTCTGGATGAGGGCTGCGTTCCATTGCAGCACCAGCGGCTCCACCGGGGTGACGGGGGAGGGGGATGGGGAGGGGGAGGGGGCCGCCACCGGCATCGAGGGGGGGGATGGGGAGGAAGGGGAGGGAGAGGGAGAGGGGAAGGAGGATGGGGAGGATGGGGATGGGGAGGAGGATGGGGAGGAGGGGGATGGGGAGGAGGGGGATGGGGATGGGGAGGGGTATGGGGAGGGAGAGGAGGAGGGGCTGCTCGTAGCGTTGCCGGCAGGGTGGGGAGGCGCCTGTATCGTCGCCTGCAGCGGGAAGCCCGGCCCCACGAACAAGTCGTAGCCCGGTCCCTGGGGGGGTTTGCAGTGGGAATTGCGATGCGAGGAGCGACGTTGCATGTACGGCACTGTCGTAAGCCTGTCAGCCTGTCTGCCCGTACATGATTAAAAGGACTAAGTCGCGAGGATTAAGTAAGTGCATCATACAGGTTGAAGAAGGAATGAAACATGCAAAAATTTGCCAACGACAAGTATGTGTGTGTATACATATACATTGTATACATATACTTGTGATGAAAGCATGAATGACATGCGCACCCTAATCGGGACGTGTGCTAGGGGGACGTTCGGCGTTGCACGGGGGAACGTAATTTCTAGGAAGCGTGACTGGTGGAATGAGGACTGCGCAGCTACGTGGAGTCTCTATTCAGGAGACCGAATTGGAGAATATGCGGAGGAGGATTAAGGACGCCCGGTCCAACCCACGTGACTTGTGGACATGGCTGTGTGGGTGAAAACCGCCTCCTTGCGGGATCTCAGATATTAATGCCTTTACCGAGCATTTTTCCTTAAGGTGCTTGATGGTGCGGGAGACAAGAGGGAAGGCTGCAACGAGGGTATCCAGTTTAAATGGCAGGATGAGGACCGGGTGACGCACCGACGGGAATCAGCTGCGTGGCTCAACAAGGACTTTACGGAGGCCGAAATTGTTAGTGGCCCCAAGGCTATGCGCAACGATAAGTCCGCGGGCCTGGAGGGAACCCCGGTCGAGTATTATAAGTACGCTATCCGGGAGAATGAAGGGCGGCGGCACGTGTTTGTGTTGGCGCCTTGCTTAACGGTGCTATACAACCGCATATGCGGAGCTGAATACCCGCGAGGATTCACGACTTGCACCCTGTCCCCCGTATTCAAAAAAGGGGACGCATCCTGCTGTGACAATTACCGGGGCATTGCGGTTAGGGGCCCACTTTGCAAACTTTACGCCAATATCATCGGGAGGCGACTCACCAATTACTGTGAGGGCAACATGCTACGTGCCGCTATCCTGGCTGCGTGTAGGCATGGTTTTGGCACCGAGCATCACTTGTTTACTTAAGGCATCTTATCTCGAAGCACACTGTGTCCGGAGCGAGGCCGCTGATTATCATGCATATTGACTTTAATAAGGCGTTCGACTCCGTTGACCATGAGACACCTTGGGGCTTCCCCATGTCGTATGGGCTACACGGGCGCATCCTCGATTCTTTGGAGGCTAGCTATGCTGACGTGAAGGTTCGGGTCAAGTTGGGGAATAGGTTGGGACCTGAATTCACGGTGGGGCGTGGTGTGAAGCAAGGGTGGCCCCTTAGCGTAACCCTTTTTGGACTCTTCATAGAAGTGTTCGCTCATTACACTGATTGATGCTCACGATGCTAATTGCCGTGTTCGCCTCCCTAGCCGATGGAGCAGAGTGTTAGCCTGGCGGGAGTTGAACTCACTAACCTACTTTTCGTTGACGATGTGTCACTGGTAGCGACTGGGCACGATAGAGCTGAATGCCTTCTGGGGCTACTCGAAGCCTACTGCGGCGGGTATGGCCGCGAATGCTGCCAAGTGTGAAGTCCTCATTTTCGGGGGCACTACACGTGAGCGGAAGCGGCTAATGGAAGCTGAGTACCGGGTAGCCGAGGTGCTGGGTTGCACTAAGGCCCAGGAGTGCAGTCCTCAGCATGTACCAAGCAACTACTCGCAGCAGCTGGGCGGCGGGCCACGTTCGCGCTCAGTACTCTGTGTCGAGATAAGAAAATTACCATCCCGAAGCTATGTATGTCTCTTTATAATACACTAGTTGTACCGGTGTTTTTCTATGAAGCGCAAGCTTGGAGACCTGACTTCATAAATGTGAGTTTCGAAGGCGCTATGACTAATCCCATGGTCCAGGAGCAGCGTGCGTACATGCGACCTGTAGTTGGGGCAAGGACCCCCGCGTTTTCCCCATAGGGATTACCGGAGCCAAGGCTTGTCACTATATGAACTGGATGGGAGCGGCCCCGCCTAGGGTTGCGCGGCTCGATTGGTTGGAGCACACTAAAGTGGCCATGCCCCAGCGTCTACATCAAGTGCTCATGCGTTTCCGGTTAGGCTGTTGGGAGTTATGGGCGTGAGTGAACCGCGCGTACCTGCAGGCTTTGTGACTGTGGAGCGGTTGAAGATGAACTGCATGTTTCTGATGAATGTCCCGCTTACATGAGCATACGGGCTTAATACGATGGTGACCTAGTCCTTAAGGGGCGCAGCATGCGCACCACTATGACTGCGCACCCCTGGCATTGGCCAGGTACCTCTCGGTAATCTGGGAGGCCAGCCACGTCGCGCTGAGGCGCTTCGCCCTGAAGCGAACGAAGGAGGATGATGATGGCCTCCCGCGTACCCGCATCAATACCAATATAACGTCCATGGCCCCCCGGCTTTTACGGACACACCCCCACTTGTGTGCGGACCTTGTAAATTGGAACTATACATATGCACATGTGTATGTACATGTACATGTATGTGTATGTATATGTATGTGTATGTATGTGTGGCTATGTGTGCGATGGTATTGGAATGACGTGCGTAGGAATCCCTTGGTCTCCACTCTCCCGCCTGCATGCCGTACCTGGAAATGTGGTCCCTGTCTGTAATTTCGCAACACCAATTGTGTGAGGCCGAAGACGCAGCCAGGATTCACTTGGACCTGCATGCAGCACAAATATGTATATTACACATACTGGACTGTGTAATACACTTCCTTAAAGGATAGGTTTATTTTGAACTTGGGGTGCGATGTTTGTATGTATTATGCATGTATGTATCTATGTATGTATGTCGGTTTATCTAACTCTGCATCTATGTAGGTGTAGGTTCGTTGGGCAGTTCCAACAATGGTTCTAAAAACGCAGTTTCCAATTCATATCCTAGGACGGCTTACTTAGTATAAAATATAAGGTATGACTGCTAGCAGCTACTGCTTATATGATAATCAGTAATGATATGCGATGGCGCAGCAAACCAACCAGCCAGACAGACAGATGCGCCCCGTGATGTAACCCAGCCATCGCCTCCTGCCGTACGGCAGCAGGGTCTGGGGGCCCACTACACGGTGCGACTGGGGCGAGGTCACCTAGGTGCGCGGAAAATACTGAGTGTGTGTGTGTGTGTACGGGGGAGGGTGTTATGTTACAGTGGAATCCAAACTCCTGAAGAGTTGAGCCAGCTGGCCGTGCACTGCACTAATCGTATGTGTGTTGCATTACCACATATTCCTTTTTACCGCAGGTCATGTCCGTGTTGCCTGCTTGGGCCATGCAAAAAATGTAAATGCCGCACCGGTCTATGACGATGAATCAGCAACCAAGGTCTGACCAAGACCTCGTAGCTAACCACCCGCCTATTGACTAACCGCCAGCGTTCCTTACCCAAGCTGTGACGAAGCCGACGTCCAGGATACGCCAAGCAGCTGGTGTGGGATCGGACCCCATGATGGTGAAATTACGATTAACCACGACAGGCTGTGTGTAGGGTTGAAAGTGCGCCTCCGTAACGGAGATGTCGGTGAGCATTATCGCGAGTCGTATGGCCGGGTTGGCTATTGCTGCGACAAGCTCTGCTCCGGTGTGGCATTCAACGCTAGAGCCTCCTTCGTTGACGACGCCAGCAGTGATGGCGGCTACTTGCAAGGACGTCATTGCTAAAAGAAAGGCCGCCAATGCCGGAGTGCCTCCCATTGTCAACGAGAATACCACCACAGTTTTGCACGCCCGCATTATATTTAATTCTGATCGCTTGTTGACCGAAGAACGAGGTGCATATCAACAGCATGCTCGTGAGTCAAGAACTTGGTCGTCATAACATCAGCACAACCAGGTTATAAGTTCCTGGTAAATGAGTTTCGCATAATATCCATTGACATTGAACGTCTTTCGGTACGAAGTTAGGAGACGATATTGCTCCTTGTGAGCTATGACAACTCAACATGTGTAAAGAAACTGCAACACGTGTTCGCCGCACTCGACGGATCTGTGTTATAGTTATCTGCGTTAGGGCGTTAGGGCGTTGCGTACCGCTCCCAGTACGAGTACGGCCTAGTACAAAAGGCGTTTGCCCACTTGATAAAGCAAGCGAAGGCTTGAGGTGCGTGGTGATCTTGAATCATAGTTGATATACATATGATCACAAGAGACTTCTAATTGTGCGGCCGACGAAGTACCAGGACAACTCACGAACGATAGGCTGTATGCGGGAGTGAGAGCGGCACAGCTCAACAATATATGTAATGGTATCCGACAACAACTTACGGCGTCCTGCCTTATCTCAATAACGTTGGCGCTTTGCTTGCGTACTCGCCCTTCGAATCGTGCTCAACCTCCGTCGTGCCCAATATTGTTCATGTACGTACTGACAATAAATTTGCAAGAAGAAGAACAAGAAGAAGAAGCTGCCAAGCATCAGACAAGACAAGACGCGCATGAGCTTCCAGGTTGACTAATAAGCAAGAATAGAAGAGATGCGCAGCGCCCAATCCCTTACAGGGTGTCTCCACGTGGACGTCTGTTAACTATCTCCGGTAAAGTTATTGGCGCGCTAACAATGCCTAACAAAGCCTAACAGGGTATTTCCACTTGGCCGCACACTAACTTTTGGACATTATCTTTAACGTGGACTTAGTGTGTGGCAGTGGACAGGTGTTTCCACTAACAGGGTATTTCCACTAGGCCGCACACTAACTTTTGGACATTATCTTTAACGTGGACTTAGTGTGTGGCAGTGGACAGGTGTTTCCACTGAGCGCCCCGGAACCATACGACAGGTTGCTATAAAGGCACCAAACCATTGTTATAGTAAGAGTGGGTGTAATTTAATGCGCAAATCATTACAGTTTGGTCGGCAAATTGCTGGAATGTGGGCAATTCGACCGGTCCTGCTGTGAATTCCACTGGTTAGCGGGCTATTTGCGGCTGTGGATAAAGGAAAATACAAAAGCCAACGTAGGGCCATGAAGAAGGAAAATGGCTGACTATGAATTTTCCCGCTCGGAAGTTAATGTCCACTTTGAAAGTTATCAGCAGGTCTGAGGCCCTGATAACTAGTGTGCCACTAAGGCGGACTTAGTGTCCGAGGCGTTTCCACTGGGCCCTTCGGCTTTTCGCGTACGGAGCCCCTTTACGCGATTTTCTTAAAGAACTTTTACTTTCTATTAATGTATTTAACTAGTTTCTTATTGCTTGCATGATTTGCTGAGCCAGGTGTGAGATTTTTTGAACTTAATGTTAGTGTGCGGCCTAGCGGCACTGTTTCCACTGAGCGCCCCGGAACCATACGACAGGTTGCTATAAAGGCACCAAACCATTGTTATAGTAAGAGTGGGTGTAATTTAATGCGCAAATAATTACAGTTTGGTCGGCAAATTGCTGGAATGTGGGCAATTCGACCGGTCCTGCTGTGAATTCCACTGGTTAGCGGGCTATTTGCGGCTGTGGATAAAGGAAAATACAAAAGCCAACGTAGGGCCATGAAGAAGGAAAATGGCTGACTATGAATTTTCCCGCTCGGAAGTTAATGTCCACTTTGAAAGTTATCAGCAGGCCTGAGGCCCTGATAACTAGTGTGCCACTAAGGCGGACTTAGTGTCCGAGGCGTTTCCACTGGGCCCTTCGGCTTTTCGCGTACGGAGCCCCTTTACGCGATTTTCTTAAAGAACTTTTACTTTCTATTAATGTATTTAACTAGTTTCTTATTGCTTGCATGATTTGCTGAGCCAGGTGTGAGATTTTTTGAACTTAATGTTAGTGTGCGGCCTAGCGGCACTTGGGGGTCGCGGTTTGCAGCGGTGGCACTTCTGCGTACACCTTCCTCCCTAATAAGCCTAGCACGCTTGCGTTTGGTTCCGAATATATCGACCTTGGTCATTGCATGCTCAGCTTCCTCTCAATCGGGCATAATCATTATGTAATTATAGGAACGGGAAAATATTTCAGTGATTTATCCTATTGCTTGTGTACGTGCGTTTGGTGCTTGCGAGGCGCCATTGTACTACCTTATGGACCTTACAAAGTTATAAGGGCCGAACCAGAGAACACAAATTTCCATTCTTGGAAATCTTTGGTAGAATATTTGCCAGTGGGTAGCGGAAGTGTGTCCCACCTTAGTGGAATATACTCATATTTGGCCTCCCCACGGTGCGCAAAGGCGCGAGGTGGGCATCGCTTCATAGCTTTTCACTTGGCACCAAATACATTTTCCATTATTTTAATCAATACAATTTTTTTTATTTTCTGACGGACATCTTGATTTCGTGGACGAGCTCCATTAAGCCTCCCGTTCGCTCAACCGTTCCATCTAGCCTTCCATGAAGCCTGATTCCCAGCTCTAAAATTATCAGTCTTTGATATAGCTCATATACCTAACGTAGATATCATATAGCTGCGCGCAATGGAGCAGATGTATGACAATGCGCGCCATGGCGGCAATCTCGTATGGGTCGCGGCTGCAGGGCAGGAGGTCGAGGATGCAGTGGAGCATGCAGTAGAGGAGCCGCCTCAGTAAGCTTACTTCAGCCTACTGTGCCTTGGTTTCATGGTGGATGGCGTTACTTCTTTGAGCTGGAGGCTAATGTCACCCCTGTGCACCCTGAGATGTACAAATCTCCTGTAAAGGCAGAGCAAAAGGTGACTCTCCGAAGAGTTCTGGCTAGCGGGGCTGGGGAGGCGGCAGCAGCGGTGCAGGGTGGTGGAACAGGCAGCGGGGCTGGCGAGGCGGCAGCTGCGGTACAGACTAGGTGGAACAGGCAGCGGGGCTGGGGGGGAGGAG